CCCCCCCCCCCCCCCGCCCCCCACCCGCCCCGGATTATCTCCTCTTTCGGATGTGGAAGGAGGGAGGGACCGAATGGTCGGTTTGGCGGGCTGCGCCGCGGCATCTAGGAACTCATTGAACGAATCGAGGCATATTCAGTAGGGATACACACAGGGAACAACTAATTGCATTATGAAACCTATACATACCATATAGAGTACCTTCTACAATACCTTGTGGAATAACCGAAGGAATACATACTAGGCTACCTTATAGGATACTTTATACTGAGCAAACCCTTCGGAAAATCTGGTGCCGTCTTAAGATCTGGAAGACGCAGCGATTCCGATAGCACCACATTTTCTGAAACGACAGCCTTCGGAAAATTTGGCACTATCGAAACGCCCTTGATTGTTGTCCGAATTTGCAAAGGATAACACAGCGGTTCGATAGCACCAATTTTTACAACCAAACGGGTGAGGCGATAGCACATACAGCTCCCGGATTTGGCATTAATTGGACAAGTAGCTTTAAGTACATACCAAACCTATTGAATTCAATGGGGCTGTCGGATTGAAGATTGAGAATTGGAGATGCCTCAGAAAACTTTCCCAGGGCATCTTCAATCTTCAACCCGACAGCCCTATTTAATTCAATAGGGCCTATTGAACTCAAAAGGAATCACGGACTGTGCGACGTACTAGAGTTCAGAGTATACACATACACACATACAGAGTATTCTTTATTGTAACCCATCCATCCGTCCATCCATCCATAAATACATCCATGTATCCATACATCCATGACATGACATGACATGACATGACATGACATGACATGACATGACATGACAATGAGATGACATGACATGACATACCTACCTACCTACCTACCTACCTACCTACCTACATACATACATACATACATACATACATACACACATACATACATTTTTGCATGCAGGCGTGCATCTAAACATGCCCCACATACACATACCTATCCGCATCCGTATCATACATATCCGTATACTAAGTCGTATACAATTACCTCTACATTTACAGGCACGTATGCAGATGCAGATACGGGCGCACATACATTTACACAAAGGCATACACATAAGCATATATGTATATATGTACATATCTAAACATTGGTTGTCTACAGATGAGCAGATATCGGCACATACCAAACATGTATTCTGTGTGTATATATATATGTATATACGCAGACATATACCTTTACATCTATATATGTGTACTGTTTATGTATCTATTTATCTACTTGCTTATTGACTGATTTCTGTATCCGTGGACTGTAATTCACTGCGCCTGGCCCCTGCCCCCCTGCCTCCTGTACCGCCCCCCTCCCCCCTTGTCATGCCCCCGGCCCCCTGCCTTGTCCTGGAGCCCTCAACCTCAATTAACACGAAAAGCCCTGAACCCTGCTTTCCTCGCGCGCCCGTGACCGCTGAGAGATCGGTGTCGTGCAAAGCCATGGCGAAGTCAATCAGCGCCACCTCCGTTTGATTTGTTGATAGAACTCTGTACGAAAAGTCGAGTTTTAGTGGTACCCCGCAGCTCTAAAGAGCCATTTTGGGCATGCTTCCCGTTAGGGGTTAAGAACGCGGGTAACGTTAAGGGGTTTTGCACAGTCGAGTCAGAGGGGGCTGGAGGCTCACGATCGCAAACCCCAGCAAACCAAACGAATGTAGGGCCTTGATAAACCCTAAACCCTAAACCCTAAATTAGAATAGGGCCAGGGGCCTTCATAGAGTTCCTTTAAAGGGTTCCTTGACGGGTTCTAGAAGGGCTACGATCAAAGTTTATTTAGAGAATAGGGAGTTTAGGGTTTAGGGTTTAGGGGTTTAGGGTTTAGGGTTTAGGGTTTAGGGGTTTAGGGTTTAGGGTTTAGGGAGGGGCCTTGATAATTAGAGAAGGGTACAGGTTTGGGGGTCCTTTATAGTGTTATTAGAACAACGAGCCCTAACAGTAATATTGGTAACTATTTTGGGCTTCTATATTAGGGATTTGATAATTAGAATATGGCTCCTTTTGAAAGGCTCTTGAAAAAGCTCTACAAGGCTTCTATAATAAGAGTAATTTGGGTTCTACTAATCTAGGGGCCACAACAATTGGAATTGGGGTTGGATGTATATTATGCTATAGCTATATGAAGGAGCCCCAAGAAATAATACTAAGTAATTCATCCGACCCCTATACTATTGGCAGCGCATCAACTTCAACAGGCAAGCCCAATGCCGTGCACATCTGCGATTCAATACCGAGTTGCGCAGCCATTTGATGTCAAGGTGTTGCACTAGAACCACTAGAAAAACCCATGAACCCTAAACCCTAAACCCTAAACCCTAAGACTAGACGACCTTACCTTCGGCAACATAGCCACACGACCAACTCCGGCACGAAGGGTTTCATCTTGCAGTACACTGGATGCAGCCGGTTCACCGGCACTTTATGGAAGCCTGAAGACCCTAAACCCAAAAGAAACATACTATATATAGTCCGTAGAGCTCCTTATTGACAACTCGTATACCCCAAAACCATGTCGTAGCTATCAAGGCCACCCAATACAAACAGGTTCAAGCTGCCTGAATTTCGGCGCCATCCATTCGCAGAACGGCATTTTCTGCACTCACGTTGCCATGTGCAATGCCCTTGCGGTGAAGTGCAGTCACAGCCTCAAGCAAAGAGCAAAGCACCTGTGATGCCGTGGCTTCTCTGTCCGGCCCCGGTTCGCCCAAATTACCGGCGAGCTGGAAAAGATCGCCGCCAGGAGCCCAATCCAACATCAACAACACATCCTCCCGAGAATCTCTGTAGACCCCATGGCATGGGACAACCCCAGGAACTCGCGACGATCCATGGCCCAACCTCATCGCCAGAAAGATTTCGGTCCATGGGTCATCACAAGAGCATGGATCGGATATGCGGAACGACTCCGGATCGTCTTGGAGATATGCCCGGGGGAACCGTTTGGCCAGAAGCTTTCTGCCGCCGATGGTGCGATCCGACATGATCTCTATCTGTGCCTTGGATCCCTCTGAAAAAGAGCGAACGACCTGCTCCACATTGAATCTCCCCTGTTCAATCACAGGAATAGATTCGCGACAGAAGCTGTCGAAATCGGGCATCCAACTTTGCTCAACGGTAAATGCTTGCAACACAGCCTTGGTCAAAGGCAAACCCTCGCTGCACTGCGTGCTGCAGAGGCTTGCCCATGTATCAGCTCTGGGCTGTGGATCCAGCATGCACTCCGTGCTCTTCACCATGTCTTCTCCGGAAAGCCCATCAACATTGTAACAAGCAGAAGAATAACGTACATGATGATCATATGCGCGCATTTCGTGAGCGTGCTTTAATCATGGGATAACGCATATGAACGCTGATCAATAATCAATGATTAGATAAGCTACTGGCAAAGAGAAGAAACAGATCATGTGACAGCAGCAAACGAGCGCAGCACCCCGTTCTCCTCACGTCACCAATACAACAAGATGCACAGCCCTAAACCCTAAGCCCTAAGCAGGGTAAAAGAGCGAGTGCTTTGAGGCTAAATTAACAGAAATTAACCGCAAGGCCCTCAGGGTCCATGTACCCAAAGAGTATATACTTTGGCCTGAAAGTAGTTCCTATATAGGTACTTTGGAGGCCAAAGTATATACTATTTGGGTACATGGACCTTTGGACTTATTAGATGGTGATACCGAGTGATACCCCTAAACTCGAAACTTGAAGCCCTAAACCCCAACTAAACCTTACCCTACTCCCTAAACCCCTTTAGGGTAACCATTGTCAGACTCAGCCAAGGCTTCACACCTGCAGCTCGAGGCTCTCGGGAGTTCCAGCTTTCTGTCGGGAGCTTCATGATTAGAAGAGGGGTTCTGGGCCATTTGGTCGGATAACCATGAAAAAATACACTACATTAAAATTAAGCTAGGGACAACAACAACAAAATAACAACAATAATAATGATGATGATGGTGATGATAATTGTACTAACCGTAAAGATGACGAGTAACAGTATGAATACAAAATAATGATAGCAGTAATAACAGTCATAATAATTTGGAAACCTAAAAACTTGTATTACACAAAAGCCAGGTGTCATTCTGCGGGGCTAAGGTTTGGGGTCCAGGACTTCAGCAGCCCGGCTTCGGGGCTGAGGGCAAGCTGTGGATCCGATAAACCAACGCCGCAAAAACTATTCCTTTTCGTAATATTCTTATTACTATTACTATTTGCATTATTATTTCCATTATTGTTAATATTACTACTGATTACTGCTATTATTACTATTAGTATTATGATTATTACTATTTCTACTGCTAGTGCTATTGACATCATTATTACTACTACTACTATTAATATTGTTATTATTATTAATATTACTATCACTACTATTATTATTATTGTTATTCGTGAACGTCCCGAAATAATGACAAAATCCTGCACCCCAACGGGGTTGAGCTTTATTTGCCCTCGGTCTGCAGGCCGAACCCGAACCCTCCCTAAACCCTGAACTCTAAACCCAAGACCGAAGATTGCAAACCCTAAACCCTATAAACTCTACACACCCTGCGGGACCCGTTAATTCTAAACCCAAAACCCTGGCGCTAAACCCTATACCCCTGAAGCCTCGACCTCAAACCCCAATAGAAGGTTGAATGGGGCCGGGCTTAGCCGGCTCCGAATAAACCTAGGCTTACCCATAGGCCCCTAAGTAGTTCCTTTTTGGAATTACCTTATAGGATTCTAAATATAAACCATAAAAAGGAACTACTTAGGGGCCTATGGGTAAAGTTGTCAATGGATCCGCCATGATCTGCCCATGCGATTTTGAATCCTGCAGGTGCCGTAATA